CGACTTTTTGTCTCAGATTCGGCATCATATATGAAAAAGTGTTTTCAAATTATTTTAAAACCTGTAATGCCTCAAATATTTCATATGACATGTATAGTGCATATTTTAAATCTAATTAGATATGTTTATTAAATAAATAGGTAATGTCAAGAAAAAACCAAACTTCAATTATATAAAATTTATATAATTAAAGTCTGGTTTCTTCTTGGTACTACGCAAATATTAATAAATTTATTTTATTAAAGTGGTGTAATTATCAATAAATATTTATTTTTATTTTTTCTTTCTTAGGGAGGCATGGTTATCAGTTGCGCAATTCGATATTGTTAAAAATTTACTTGCTGAAATTCAGCAATCTATTTTCAAATGCAAAAGTCGGAGAAGCCGATATTTCTTGTATTTGCATCATCATGGTGTTGAAACTCCTCAAAAAATTTCTCTTTATAATAAAACTAGGTGGAACTCCTGGTTTCAAATGACATTTTATGTCATAGGAAATCTGAATTATATACATATGTTTTATTGTGAAGAAAAAAATGAAAACTCCTCTCCAGCCATTGAGAAAGTTGATGAAATTTTTAATAATTCACAATATAATTTTCTTATTGAAATTTATCTTCGTTTTATTAAATATTTTGGGCAAGTTTTTGTAAATGAATTAGATTTTTTTCAAACCCAAAATATGCCCGTTTTTCCATATATTGAATCTCATCTTCAACAACTTGATTTATATATTAAAAATAATCAAACCTTGCTTATTCTTCCTTCTGATATTCAGGATTTTATTATTACTAATAATTATTTACCTGATTCTTTTTGTTCAATTTTTCAAAACACCTTTAATATTGCTTATAACAAATATACAGTTCATATTCAAAATCATCCTACACGATCTCTATTTCAGACTACACAAATTTTTGATCCACTTTTTGTTCATCTTACTACTGCTAACCGTGATCTTCATTCTTATCGTATTATTAATGAATTAGATAATTCATCTTCTTCTTTAATGCATGAATGGTCAATTTACTGTAATTTAGAATTAGCAACAATCGAATATAATAATTTAGCAGAATTTTGGGAAAAATTATCTGGGCAATTACCAGAATTAAGCAAAATCGCACAAGAATATATTTGGCTTCCAATTTCTTCTTGTGCAGTTGAACGCAGCTTTTCAAATTATAATAATATTTTGGCAGAAGATCGACAAAATCTTAAATTGGATTTATTACAAATGCTAAATATAATGTATTTTAATCGAAATTAACAAATTTTTGATTAAATTTTATATCAAAATAAAAAACAATATTTAGCCATTATCAAAACAATTTTTTACAAAATGATATCGAAAATTTTCCAGGTCCCTGGGCTTGGGTCATGGGTTTGGGTCATGGACTTGAGTTGTCTTGAGTTATGGGCTTGAGTCGAGCTTGGGTCATGGACTTGGGTGGCTGGGCTGTGTAACTGTAACATTATCTCCTTCTTAATGCTTTGTCTTTTCCTCCTCTGCTTCAGTTTCGGTATAGTTGTTTTCTTCTTTGGCTTGTGGAGGTATAACTGGTAGAAACTTTTTATGGCATTTTCAGCATACACAACATTTTCAACAGGTTTCCACAAATGGTCGCTTAGGTCACAGTTCTTTCATTCAATTAGATAATGTAGTTTCTTCCGAATTAGTTTAGAGTCAAATATTTTTTCGACCTCATATTCTATCTCACCATCCACTATTACTGGAAGAGGGGGCTCCTTGTGTCTACCGGGGATGTCATTGGCCACATATAGCTCCAAAAGAGATACGTGAAACATGTTATGGATTTTGAGTGAAGGAGGTAAGTCTAGACAATACGTTACAGGGTTAATTTGGGTTATGATTTTATAAGGTCCTAATTTTTGATAATCCAATTTCTCTAATGGGCATTGTGTACAGATGATTCTTCTTATTAACTAAACTTGGTCGTTAATCTTGAACACAGATGGCTCTTGCCATCATTGATCGGCATTTCATTTATATCATTTTTGTGCAGTCCTCCATTCCTGCATGAGTTCTTCCTTAATTTGTAGTAATTGAGCTGTCTTATCCTCAGCAGATGGTACAGTTGGTCGTGAAGGTGCTTGAATATCAAATCGTAGGCAAAATCTGTAATTGGCTAGAAATAGTGTAGTTTTAGTCGATGAGTGCTTAGAGTTGTTGTATGAAAATTCAGCTAAGGGTAGAAGATCAGCCCAATCATCCTGATGGTAATTGATGGTGCACATAAGATATTGTTTTAGTACTTGGTTAACCCTCTCGCTCTGCCTGTCAGTCTGTAGGTGGTACGCTGATGATAAATTAATTTTTGCTCTCGGAAGGTCAAAGAGATGTTTCCAGAACTGGGAAGTGAATTGTGAACCTCTGTTAGATACAATTTCTTCAGGTATCCCATATAGATAGACTACTTCTTGTATTACCAATTGGGCAGTTTGTTCAGCAATAATGTTCTTATGACAGGTGATGAAATGAGCCATCTTTGTTAAGTGATCCATTACTACTAAAATAGAATCAAAACCAGAGGATATAGGTAGGTCAGTTATGAAATCCATGGATATGGATTGCCATTGATATGACGGAATGGGCAAGAGCATCAGCATTCCATAAGGATGATGTCTTGGTGCCTTTGATCTAGCACACGTGTTACATATTCTAATGTAGTTTTATACAAAAGACTGAAGATTGGGCCATCAATAATTTCTGATTACTAGTTCGATAGTTTTGGTTATTCCAAAATGCCTAGCTAGCTTAGAGTCATGCTGAAACTGTAATATCTCAAGTTTCTCTGCTGTACCAAGTATATATAACAGTCTATCTCTATATAGTAGATCATTTTCCTGTATGAACTTGTGGTAGTCAGATCAGGAGCCATTGCGGATGGTATCGTCATTCAAATGGCTAATTATTTCCAAGGCAAGAGGGTCCATCTTTAATTGGGATTTAACATGTTGCTAGAATGCATAATCCAATAGTGCTGTTGAGACAGCATTTATGTGTAATCTCTTTTTTCCTAGTAGTATCATTTGGTGGAAGGTGGGTTCTTCATAAGAAGGCTTATAGTCAGGTCTTCAGGACAGTGCATCTGATTTGCCTTAATCTTTTCCTAGATGAAACATGATCTCAAAGTCATAGTTGGACAAATATAATGACCAACAGGCCTGACAGTAGTTGAGAAGCCAGACAGTAGTAAAATATTGGAGGTTTTTATGATCACAATAGATAGTAATTTTGTGTTGAGCCCCTTCTAGATAATGCCACCATTGTTTCAATGCCGTTACGATGACTAGAAGCTCCTTGTCATAAACATTATAATTTAGTTCTGCAGAGAAAAACTTTCAGGAGTAATACGTGACTGGATGTAAATAGCCATCCTCTTGGGTTGAGACAGTATGGCCCCCAACACATAGTCCGACGCATCGGTTTTCAAAAAAAAATGTTTTGTAAGATCTGTGTGTATAAGAATTGGAGCTAATATGAAAGCCTTCTTTAACCTCTCAAATGCTAATTGTGCTTCATTGGTCCATTTGAAACTCTTGCTTGACTTTCGAGTTAGATTTGTGAGGGGTGTGACCACTTGAGAGTAGTTGTTTATGAAATGACGATAATAGTTCACAAACCCTAAAAACTGCTGTATTTCTCTAAGTGTTGTAGGTATAGGCCACATGAGCAGGTTTTCTACTTTTCTTTTATCCATTTCTATTCCCCTAGACCTAATAGTATACCCTAGAAAACTCGACACAGTCCTTATCAAACTCACACTTCTCTAGCTTTGCATCAGGCCAAATTGATGAAATCGTTCCAAGACTAGTTTCACATAGTAGGTATGCTCTTCGAGGTTTGTTGAGTATACTAGAACATTGTCTAAATATACAATAATGAATCTATCCAATAAATCCCTGAACATGTCATTTATCAGATGTTGAAAGACCGCTGAAATATTAGTAAGCCCAAAGAGCATTATCAGATATTCGAAAAGACTATAATGGGTTTGAAATGTGGTTTTTCATTTGTTGCCTGGTTTAATTCTAACTAAATTATAGGTGCCTCTTAGGTCTATTTTGATGAAGATTCTGGCCGAAGATAGACAGTATAGCAACTCCAAAATAAGAGGAAGTGGATATTGATTTTTTATAGTAGCTTGGTTTAACCCATGATAGTCTACACATAGCCTTAGGGAATCATCCTTTTTCTTGACAAACAATATAGGAGCCCTAGCAGAAGATCTGGAGTGCCTGATATATCCTTTATCCAAATTCTCTTCTATATACTTTCTTAATGTTTCCAGTTCTAACTCTGAAAGTTTGTATATGGGCCCCCATGGAGGTTGTTTTTCAGGTACTAGGTTTATTGCACAGTCATATGGCCTATATTCTGGCAACCTATTTGCCTCCTTCTCATCGAATACATCACTAAAGTCATTGTATTTCGTTAGGAGTATCGAGGTGGCTATTTTAGATCCCTCGCTTACAAACGCTATGTAGAAGATTTGAGCCAAGAAAACTCTTTCTGACATACTGATATGAGTTGTTGTTAGTGCTAGAGATGGGTGCTAAATATGAGAAATACAACCTGCATCTGGAAATTTTAGTGTACGTTCATGCCAATTAATGTTAGAATTGTGATAAGCCAACCATAGTAATTCCAAAATGGCTTGAAGGTGCGGCTTTTGGATCAGGTTAAATGTGATTTCCTCACAATGGTCCTGATACCTCACCATCAATGGCTCAGTTTCATAAATGACTGCCCCTGACGATATTTCTCGGCCATCTATTACTTCTACCAATAGTGGTGTCTTCTTTCTTCTAATAGGTAAGTTGTATTGATATGCTAACATATAATCAAGGAAGCATGCTGAAGCACCAGAGTCTATTAATGCATTAACAAGAAACATGGATTTGTCTGGGAGCTGTATAGAGACTGTTATAACAAGAGTGTCTATTAGGATGTGATGAGTCAAATTTTGGGGGTTTTTGTTATGAGTTCTATCCAACTGCAAACCCCTTACTGCAGTTAGGACTCCTTTTTTCCCAAACTTTTCAAATTTGTTTCCATCACAATGATCCTATGCTTGGTGATACTTTTTCTTGGACAATTTTTAGCAATGTGATCGAGTTTGCCACAGTATAGGCAAAGGTTATTGGCCTATTATCTTTGCTTTTCTTCTTCAGAAAGAGTTCGTGTTTTTGTTAAATCGATCTGCATTGGCTTCGAGGATAGACTGGGCCTACTATAGTTTGGTACTGGATTACTTCAACCTACAGTGTGGTCTTGTCATTCATGACGTCACTTAAATAACCTGTTATCACAACATACTGCCTTAGAGATCTCATTATTCAATGATGTAGGGTCTTCTATAGTAAGTAATAAGTCTTTCACATCATTTCTAGCCCAGTTCGGAATTGGTCGATTAACACCACCTCACTCCAATCTAGGTCACTAGAGGTTTAACAGAACTCTGAAGCATAGCTTGAAGCCAATTTAGATCTCTGGGTAAGTTTTCTGATTCTGTTTGCTGTCATTCTGACCTTGTTTGAGTTACCAAAAGTAGCTTCAAACTCCTTGATGAAACTATTGAAATCATTCAACAGTGCTGACTCTTTTTCAAGAAGTGAGGCAAACCATGCCAGAGCTGGGCCTACAAGTCGACTGCCAAGCAACCTCACCTGTGTTCTATTATTAGGGTAACAGCTGAGCTATAAATGGATAATAAGCTATATTTGGTTTAAGAACCCTCTAAACTTGGAACGGGTTTCATTGAACTTGTCAGGCAGACTAACTTTAGGCTCTCTTGGGTGGTTGTGAGCCTCTCTTTGCAATAGTTGATTGAGTTCATTGCGAACATCCATATTCTCTTGTCTCAACAGTTGGTTTTCTTGCTGGATTTGTTGCAATGCAATAAGGATATCATTAAGGTCTAGTTGTTCTTCCTTTTTTTTTTTTTTTTTGTTTTTGTTTTTATATTATTAACAGTAGGTATTATTAATAATGAATTTGTTTAAGCTTCAAAATTTGAGATGTATGATCTGTGGCAGATATAGATCTAAGAGCTTCTAGTCTGTTCAAACTGTCATAGTACAAGATCGATCACTAGGCACATCATAGTAGAAACACAATGCAAGATTCAAGAATGCAATATTAAATAACAAGATATTAAGCACCAGATACTGGAGATTTGTTTATTGAACAGACTAGAGAGCTAAGTACATTTTTCTCTTCTCTTTTATTCTAATTTTTCCTATTACTAATTACTAATCATTTTCATAGGACTACCTAAGTATTACAGAACTATGACTACATACTTAATGTACTGTTTATTGATATTACTAATTACTAATTTTAATCACTCATTTATTATGATATAAGGTCTTGGGTTCATAACGGATCTGAGTTTCAGGCTTGAGTTACTAACTTGAGTCTCGGGCTTGGGTCATGGCTTGAATCGGGCTTGGGTTATAGCTTGAGTCGGGCTTAGATCACGGGCTTAAGTTGTCTTGAATTATGGGCTTGAGTCGGGCTTAGGTCACGGGCTTGGGTCATGGACTTGAGTTGTCTTGAGTCATGGGCTTGAGTCAGGCTTAGGTCACAGACTTAGGTGGCTGGGCTGTATAACTATAACAGGTTAAATCAGATTAATAATCAATAATATATTAAAAAAACTAATATACTTTTTTTTTTAACAATACTAATATAATTCAAATAACTTTTTTTTTGTATATCATATAAAACCAAGAATTTCATAAGACTTTATAATAATTTAAATTTATAATAAATCAGTTATATTTTTTAATTTTATAATAGCATTTAAATATTATTGTGATAAAAGCCTATAATAAAGATTTTCTAGTTCTGTAAAAATATTATTTGGTAAGATCTAGTAAGTTCTATTTTTAGGCTTTAATTTTCAGTAAAAGTCAAGATTTTTTATAAAATAAACAACAAAGTTGGATATATTAGTTTTATATAACTATAAAACTTACAAAGAACACTTATAAGAGTTAAAAACTTACAGAAGCTAAAAAGTTAGTTTATTTAATACTTTTACTTTTTTAAAAAAAAAATTTTGTAAAAATAGATAATTCAGTTTATCTCTTTTTAAAAATCAATATATAAAATCATCATTTTTATTTTAAAAAACTCTTTCTGCCAATCTCAATTTTACAAAAATAGAAAAAGTGTACATCAAAGTTTACTTAAAAACTACTCTAAGAAACAGATTTTTTGCTACTAAAAAAAAAGAAAGAAAACTCAGAAACAGCATAAGTTTACTAG